CCCAAGCCAACATTTCTTCAGAGAGGTAGATTGGCACAATGCTTGTGTTCAAGGGACAGAATGTTAGTTTGACCATAGCTAGTCGAAAAGATAGGCTGTTGTCTGGGTTGATTCTTGTTTTGCGTTTAGGGGCACTTGTTTTCTTTTACGTCTTGACTAGAATGGCCACGCAATTTATTGGCCCTAAATCACAAATGACGAAGAGCATTATAAAAGGGCAGATGGGGTAAAATGAACCTGACCTAACTTATGACTATGGCAAATATGAAGTTCTGCCTTTTTTGCTTCCCTTGAATGTGTACTGCCCTGGTTGATTTGTTGAGTGTGAGAGCCAGTATAGCAGATGAACTGCTTTTTTACACACGGTAACCGGGCACCTAGCCTCTGTGTCTACGTACACAGTAACCGGCAACCGAGCACGTAATCTCAGTGTCATGTACACGGTAACCGGGCATGTAGCCTCAAAATCTACGTTCACGGTCGGCTACCGGGCATGTAGTCTCAGTGTCACCATGATTGCGAGCCCGACAAGACGCTTCTTACTTCTTGTATGATTTTTTTTTTTTCAATAAGTGACAGCACAGGACAAATATTGATTTATTTTCATTCCGGTTACCGTGTATGTAGATACTGAGACTAGGTGCCCGGTTACCGTGTACGTAGACACTCAGTTTTTACTCTGATCATTATCATCAGGCTAGTGTTTTGGTGAATGGACGAAGGGGTTCGTTACTCGCAGACACAGCAATAACGAGTGAGTAATGAGCAACCATGTGAACAGACTGCGAACCTTTTGTTTTATCTTGGGCCTGCAGCACAAATTTATTCACTGAGCGGCGGGCGAATGGATGAACTCTAGCAGACAAGATATACTCTACTTGAAGTATCGTCTTTTGTTAGTTGTTTTAAGCCCGTAGGCCTTAGGGTTAGTGAGAGGCTGGGTGGGGACTTAACACTGTGTGTGTCACCTTTCGCTGCGTTTGGATCACACTGTGCATTCTATTTTTTTTTCAAAGGCAAGGTTTTAAACACATGAAGCTACAGCAAGCACCTAGCACACCTCTGTGATTGGCCCATAGCTGCCCACTGTCCCGGGCCATCCTTATTTTGTACGGATTTTCCGACGGTCCCGGAAAATAAAGACTTGGCAAGCATACTTCTAAAACAGAAAAATTAGGCCTGGCGAAGAGGGGAACCAGATTTCATTGCAATGATGACTGGCGACTGACAGTGACTGGTGACAGCACACACTAGGCCTCCTAGGCCAAGGCCACCACACCGTAGGCCTACACGCACATGATGGCTAGGCCTACACCTACACGAACACACCTTCACCATCGCACGATACCTTCACCACACACACATCACTTGTACTAGGCCTAGGCCTAATGAGAGAGCGAGAGGGGACCAACTCAATCTAGCTTTGTCGCACCCGCTTTCACACAAACTAGCCTAGATCTAGAAGCTAGGTCTAGATTTATGACGGTTTATGGACTTTAACTTTATGGAGGGACAGAACAACTTTCCTTGGCGCTAGCAGACGACAGTTGCAAATCAGTTTCAGACCCTAACTTTCAAAAATAAAAAATCGGGATTTTTGAAAAGAGATCGACTCATGGGGAAATAAAGTGTTGCCCGTGAGTTTGAAGAAAGTTATTCACGTCAGGGGCATGCTCTGACGGTGAATGAGTCAGTAATATAATTAATAATAATATTAAGATATCTTCCTCTAACTCTCATAGGGTTAACTCACCTATTTACAATATTATAGTGCAAGGGTTCAGGCCAGTTTCGCATTTTGACGACATTGATATTATAATATTAATTTTTTGTTGTGTGTGAATTTCGGGAAACCGGACATGATTTCTGTTGCATGAGAAAACGGCGAAAATTCGGGAGATTCCCAAAAAACTCGGGAGAGTTGGCAGGTGTGCAGTATTAAGATATAACGACTATGCGTAAGGTGTCCCTGATAATTAGTCAATGTCCCTGATTTTGAGCAAGGCTGTCCCTGATAGCCTCAGAGAGGGGTGGGCTGCTATGTTGGCCCAATATAGAGATAGATGACGTATTCTGCTTCGCCATCTATTTTTGTCGTCTTCCCTGGTTTCCCTCAAGACTCTTGGGCTTTCCTCGCCAGTAACTGTTGACTAGATTTCACAGTTTAAAAAAAAAATTTGTGTTATCTTTTATAAACAATCTCTGCAATTCTCGTTCCATAAATTTACCTTCTCCTCAAATTTGTTCACAGATCCACAGAAACACACAAGCACAAACACGCGCGCTCACACACACACACACACACACACACACACACACACAAGGGCACGCACACACGTGCACATAAGCGCGTCTATACACACAGGGGCACACACATACCTCTGAAACAGTCGGCAATGAAACCTAGATCTAGTGACGTAGCCCATTGCACGCGTTGTGGCGAAGCGGGCCCGACACCATGAGATCTAGTCAACTGGCGTGGGAAGCCCCGGAAGACGACAAAATTAGATGGCGGAAATACGCCCTCTATATTTGGGCCAATCACAGAGGTGTGCAAGGTGCTTGCTGCAGCTTTATGTGTTTTAAACTTCCTTAAGGTCTTGGAAAGAATAAATACCCATAACAATGGAACTCGGCTTAATCTAAATATAGTGCTACCACTACGTTGAGAGGGTAGTAGGGGGGGGGGGGTTATGGCAGGGTGGGAAGGGAAGGATATAATGTGAAGTGAATTATGTAGTGCCGTGTTACATGCATGAACTAATCTCTAAGTATAATGGCATCATGTGAGTCCATGATGTAGTAGTAGTAGCATGCAATGCAAGGAGTCTTTCTGTTCATCCTTCAGCCCAATGGTGTATATCGAAGAGTTGCCAGAGATACAGCAAGCGAATCTTCACAATTGAATGATTTGTTATTTGGTCTGTTCATGAAGTTCATTTGCAAGTTACATGTGGGTGCTGAAATAGTGAGCCTGACCGACACCTCTAGGCCCAATTCTTTTAAAGATATGTATCACCATGACAGGTTGTAATTTTATGGGGCACGGGCAGGGAAGGAAACATTTTTTGAAGCATTCCTTGTGAACCACACAAGATGCTCACGGCTGTTCAGTTCTACTATCCTTGCGGAGCACTTAGTTTGACCCGTCCGCTGACCTCCCGGGGTCATAAATCCCACCTGACAGTCGGGCCACGCATCGCTTCCTGGGCGATAGCGCTGTTAGCCGATTTTGGGTAGAAGTCTGTAATTTTCACTTGATTTAGACGCCTGTAAATGTCCTCTCTTATCTATCACTATGGGTGTGTGAGGTATCAAATGAAAGCCCAGACTCTCCCCAATAACCCGCTTCCTTTACTTTGGTTCTAGTTCTAACCGTGATCACACACTGCCTCTGTACTTAACCCTACCTTGTGGTGCACGTATTTCTCGGATTGCAACAAAGATCAGGATTTTTTTCCATTCGTGAAATGCAGATTGTCATCATTTTTTTATCTGCCGTATCAAGAGTCAGTGAGGAACTTATTTGTGAAAAAATTGTTTAGATTCACTGGAAAACTTTAGCAGGACGGTGAGTTTTGTTACTTCACCCTGTAATATTTTCCCGGCTGCCGTGCTGCCCCGCGCGGTATTCACCCGAGGTCCCGCTTTCACTCTCCCCCCCATTCTTTATCGACAAGTGTTAGGAGAGTCTGCTACATGAGGGAAAATGGAACACTCCGGGAACTACGTCTTGCGGGTTTAAAAAAACCCCTGTGTAGAACATGCGGGGCCAGAAGTAAAAAAGTGAAGAAGGCAAACCAGAGCACATATTTTTGTGTAAGTTTAAAAATGACTTACTCGTATTCTACGGCGTAAACGTGGACACGGATAGTATAGACACACATCCCTGTGAAATGTGCAACAATTCAATATGTACAGAGCATAGATCTATACCGCTGAAGGAAACAAGTTCAAGAAGCAACTCTGCTGCGCAAAAAAGTATTGAAGAAAGTTAACACAGCTGGAGACCTCACCATAGTCGATTTCTGATAGGAAACCATTGTCACCAATACTTGAAGCGCCCAGGGTACACAAACATCACAAAACACATTTGCTCACACACAATAGCTCTTACATCTAACCAAAACATCATAGATGCAGCCCACGCAATCAGACAAATCTTGTTTTATTAAACAACAGCTATGCTGAAGTACACCACCTCTTCACTTACACATAAAATACAAGAAACTGAGTTTGACATTATATTATAAAGAACAGCAGCTTGTGCATATTTGAAGCTATACAGACGACTTGTGCATATTTGAAGCTATACAGACGACTATCTCCAAACGCAGTCATACCCAAACAACTCATATTAGAGCACCACTGTCTGCCTTCTATTTAGGGATATGGATTTGGCCTAGGTTTAAAGGGCGAACAGGGTGACGAACTTATGCACTCCAGCATTGCAAAACTGGAGAAGAGGACAGTGGGAATTAAAGAAATGAAAACAGTTGAAAGCTGTTACTGAAGCCCACAGACTGCAAAATGCATCCACTCTTAGTCAGCAGATTTGAAAAGAAATAAAGAGCAAGACAACTAGCCTGTGACACTTTTGCAATCATTGATATAAGTACATGTATTCATATGTTATATGTGCTTGTGAATGTGAAAGCAGCTCTAGCTGTGAGGAGACAAAGAGGAAACTCTTGTTTCATGGAACTGGATAGCAGTGAATCTTCTACAAGTTCCATATTTGTGAAAACTGTGAGGAAACAACGAAAAATCTCTCATTTAATTAATTGGACAGTAGTAAATCTTCTACAATTTCCCCATTTCTGAATGAATCAAACCAAAAGTAAGTGATTCTGAAAGCTCATCATGTCACTGATGTATACCCACTGATTATTTTAGAGATCTGGTGTTCACATTTTAAAATATCATAAATTTAAAAAGTAGACCTATGAAACAATTTTCCCCATAGATGCCCTCAATTGCACCCATGTTTTAAAGGGTACCCTGTTAAGAATACTAATAAAAAGTTATTTGCTGTACAGTCCAAGAATGCCACTATCAGGTGATAGTAATTTCACGTTGATTTGTTGATGGGAAAAGCCACAATGAAGCAATTAAACTGTATTAAAAGTGTTAAGTCAGAACAGTTCACTAGCAGAGAAAAGGTCAAAGTGACCTCCATGACCACCCGGGCACGGCATGGCTGACTGGGTCAACTCCTCAGGTAACTAAGTGCTCCGCTCGGGAACAGCCGTGTGCTGTGAGTTCAGTGTAGCTATTTTCAAGTGACACAGTAATGTGGATGTTTCAACACTTTTTAGCTTTCTCTGTTCATTTTTACAACTTTTACTACTTTTGTGAGTGACAGGCAGGTTCATGCGATTGCATTGCATTTTATGACTTTCGGGATACGTTTCTCAAAGCTGGCTATCAAATTATTTTTGAAAATTTCGATAGCGACAGTTTACTGGTAATATGTGTGATCTGCAGCAAAAATACAGTTGTTTGTCCCCTAAAAGCAGTACGTACAGACCAACAACCTCTTTTACCACTATTCTGCCCTTTTATATGTCTAGGTCTATATCCCATGCAGCGTGTCTTTGTGGAGATACTTAACTAAGGGATAAATGTAGAACTTTCATCTCTGTCACTATCATCTAAAATGAGAACCATCCTTCAATTTCACTTATTAAATGTCATCAACATTGCAACCACTTTGAATAGCTTCTTCTCAACTGTCAACTGTTTTTAGTCATGATAAGCCCGGCTATGAATGGTGACTTTTCCGTCTTTTGCAAATGAGCAGAAAAATGGTTTGACTTGTGTGTTAAAATCTATCTTATTATTTATGAAGTGTCACCTTCCTCCTAATATTTTTTTTACAAGAGAAGTCGAAGTGATAAAATGTGATAATTTTTTAAACACATTTTTTACAATGACAATTTCATCTCTGTAAAAGGCTGTTCTTGCACATTTTTAGGTCTACAGTAAATGGAGGCGTCCGTAGGGGGAAGTGATACATATATTTAACAAAAATTTTTTCAACGAGCAGTCAGTTGTTAAGAAGTGAAGATGTGAGAGGGCAGTGGAAGTTGTTTTTGTTGTGAATGTTGTACATGCAAATTTCATCATGGCATTGTGTTTATTACTTCCCAGGAATGGACTCATCCCAGCCTGAAAATGGTTTGGTGATGAAAGAAACGATTGAGAAAATGTCAGTGGATCATGTTGCAGAACCCTGGCAAAATGGTGACAGGACAGATGCTCATGACTGTAAGCACAAGGATCTGGCCACCACTGAAGGTGTGCCACAAGGCAAGTCTGCTCAGCTTATGAGTCTGAGTCCTGTCTCGCCAGTGCTGGAAGGCACACTGACTGATGGTAACAAGATGGCGGAGCCGGTTGGAGATGGAGAAGATATGGAGCAGGAGGTGAAGGAGCCCAGTGGGAACACAGCGACGACGGGGGATGAGGATAAGGCGAACAGAGTTGAGTGCGCAGGGGAAGGCGAGGGTTCGGCGGAGGCTGAGATCAATTGTCGAGGCCAGAATGATGATAGAGATGTTTTGTTGCAGGAGCTGGATGAAAATGAGTTGCTAGGTGGAGATGAGAAGGAGTTGCTGGAGGAGGACATGGAGGTAGATCCCAGCAAGGCAGAACCTGAGGCTGTCGGTGGTGGGGTAGAGAAAGGGTTGGGTACTTCTGATGACCTAGAGCTTGAATTGTCTACTGGCAGTGAGGAGATCCTGCTAGCTGACGGTGAGAAGGAGGTTTCCGATGAAAGGGTAAAAGAAGCGACAGCTGACAGTGAGAAAGACGTGTCCGTCGACAAGGAAGAAGATCCCACAGCTGACACTGAGAAAAACGTGTCTGTTGACAGGGAAAAAGATGTGACAACTGACAGGGGAAAAGGTGCAACAGCTGGCACTGAAAAAGAGGTGTCGGTTGACACGGAAAAAAGTGCAGCAGCCGAGAGTGAGAAAGATGTGGAAAAAGGTGCTATGTCTGTCAGCGAGAAAAATGTTTCAACTGACAGGGAAAAAGATAAGTCCACCGACAGGGAGAAAAATGTGTCAGCCGAGAGCTCTTCTGAGGAAAGCAGGCTTTGTGTTGAAGAGGAAGGTAAGTCGGAAGGTGATGAGAAAAGTGTGGCAGTTTGTGCTGAGAAAGTGGTTCCAGATAGTGAAAGAAACGTGTTGTCTGGTGAAAGTTTGCAGGTTGACACAGAGCAGAGTGGGCCAGCTGGTAGCCAGAGTGACATATGCTCAGGTGATAGGAAGTGTTCGCCTGCCGGTACTGGAAGTGGTATTGATTCTGTTGGTAAGGACGGAGAGCTCAGTGATAGCAAAAAGGCCTGTGATGAAGTAATGTTGTCGGGCACGCAGGTCAACTTGACAGTGGGCTGTGTGTCCAGTTTTGAAAGTCCCCCTGTCACTGAGACGACTTCTTCTGTGCTGGACATTTCTACATCGGCCACAAAGAGTCCTGCTCAGGAGGTGAGGGAGGAGGGGATGCCAGAGGTAGTGCAGGAAAAGGAAAAGGAGGAGAAAATGGTGAATGAAGAGGAGGAGACGATACTGAAAGAGGCGAGTAAAGAGGAAGTAATAGATCAGGAGATGATGCCTGAGGAGATTGAGAAAGAGAAGGGGGTAGAGGACAAAATGGTGCCTGAAGGGGTGAGGAAAGAGGAGGGAATGGAGGAGGAGGTTTTGCCAAAAGAGTTGAGGAAAGAAGAGGGAATGGAGGAGGAAGTGGTGCCCAAAGAGCAGGGGTTGAAAGAAGTGGTAATGCCTAAAGAGGTGAAGTCAGGGGAGGAGATGGTGCCTGAAGAGGTGAAAGGGGAAAAGGAGGTCAAAGAGGTAAGGGAGGAGGAGGAGGAGGTCACACAAATAGAAAAGTCTTCTTCGTTCCCTCCACCCATTTTTGAAGACATTACGGAGGATGAAGATTCTGAAGATGATGACGAAAATTTAGAAAACATTGAACTTGAATTGGATGACTTGATTGATCCAGCCGAGCTGTCTAAAAGTAACAGCAGCAGTGGTAGTGATAGAGAGAAGGAGAAAGACGGTGAGGAAAAAGAGGATCCTGCCAGTTTGAAGAAATCCTTGGCAGATGGGGAAGATAAAGTCATCTTACGGCTGGACATGAGTATGGTGAAAGACAGCAAGCGAGAGGCTGTGGCTGCTGCTGGACGGTCTCCCCTAACAAGATCGTCTAGTGACCCCCACATCAATGCAAGTGAAGAGAACGATGTTGAAAGGGAGCGTCCAAGGTCGTCCAACGATGTTAGAGCTCAACCGGCAGCTGAGACTTGCGAGGTCCGTGGTGAGACCAAATTCACCCTGCTCAAGTCTTCGGACACAGAAAACTCAGGCAGTGCCACAAATCCTGTTAACCCGCCAGTGCCGAAGAGGTCGAAGTTAACAGCGCGCAAGTCTGGAAAGCCAGTCAGTTTGTTGTCAGAAACATCGCCGCTCAAGACCATTAACCTCCACCCCATCAAGAACGTGACTATGAAACTTTCGGACATCGAGGATGTCCTGGACATTGAACCAGGCAAAGAGGTGAGTGGCCGGGTGCTGGACAAGTCCGCATGCCAGGTCAGTCCTAACAGTTTCTCGGACTCGGCTCTCAGGATTGTGTCGGGCCTCAAGAAGAAGCGAGGGCGGAAAAACACCTATAACTTTCCAGGGTATAAGAAAAAGAGCAAGAAACTCAAACTGTTGGACGATCTGGGCAGCTCTGGTTCATCTGCGGAAAGTGTGTCGTATTCTGATGGGGATCTTCACGATGGTGACTCTAAGGAGGCTGTGTCTTCTATACGTGAGACATCTATAGATAGTTCTTTGCACCACAGTAAAACCTCTACCTCCTCAACAAAGACTGAGTCTCCCACTCAAAGTGAGAAATCCACCCTGTTACATTTCCTGTCCAAGCCAGACTCCCTGCCATCCACACCGTCCTCGTTTTCTTCTGTCTCTGTGTCCTCCTCTTCACCACTGCTCCCCTCTGGCAGTGATGCGGTCAAGTCCAAAAGCCCAGAAGAGTCAAGCCCGGTATCTACCTCCAGCAAGTCGTCCATGAAGCCCAACAAGAAGATGAAGACCGTGCTGGAAATGTTACACGAGAGAAGTCGTCTCAAGGCAGAGCAAGAAGAGAAGAAGTCCGCGCCGGGCAACACAGTAGTCACCAGCACCACCACTGCCACCACCACCACTTATGTAAGTTTCAACTACACTTTTTACCTCCACTACCCAAGATCTCAGCTTTTCTCCTCTTTTTCTACTTCAGGAATAGGTGTTTTTGCCCTTTTTTAAAATCATTCATTATGGATATCATCTTTGCTTTTTTCCACTTCACCAAGATATCTGCTCTTTTTGTGCATTAGAAAAGGTATCATCTTTGCTGTAATTTTTTGTTCACATTGTTCAAGGAAGATGTCGACACCTTTACTTTGCTCTTTTTGTGTATCGTCCATGATACTGGTGTCTTTGCTCCTTATCTAGAATGCTCAAGATATCAGCTTCTTTGCTGTTTTTCACTATATGCAGAGTATCAACACTATTGCTTTATTTTTTTACATTTCCCCAAATCAGTATTGGCTTTTTTTTCCCTCCTTTTCTGCATTTCCAATTTCCCATGGAGTTTGTGCGGACTTGTTTTGTCTTTAAATTTGTGAGGCATCGCGGTGAAATCAGGTGCTCGTCAAAATAATGAAATCTGAGAAATGGGTATTTTTCGGCCAGTTTGGAATTTTTCTACAAATTTTTTTTTTTGGCTCAACACTTGGTGTCCATTCAAAATCACTTTTATGTGTGGATTTTATGGAAAAACATAATTTAAAGGCACAAAAAATGTAAATTTGCAGTTTCCAAGGACTCTTAAGCTATGGAAGTCACCAAACCTTGGTGGCCATTTTCTCATTAATTTTACTTCTAAAACCAGGCGACCCCACCTCCTTCAATCGCAAATATCGTGACTTCTATTCAAGATAAATGGATATTTTTTTCATCTAAAGCAAGGCAAATGAACAACCTTTAAGATGGTATCAATAACTCTATATGTCCAAAAATTGACAAGTGCCTGATTCCACTGCGTCATGACACATACACTTTATTACACAGGCGTCAATGAACATATATATTAACTGAAATCTCGATTTTTCCTATAAAAAACCCCCTGCAAATCTAGTGAGTTTTTTTAACAAGACAAAGGAACAGATGGACCTGCTCTTATGGCCACAGTGATAATCATGTGGACAATCACTTCCCATTCTTCTCCTTGCATAGCTGCCAACAAGTATGTAAAAAACACATATGCAATATATAATTGTCCTTGACAATGAATAGCTTTCTCGGACAATTTCAACTGTATTTTCTAGAATTTTAAGTCTCTGCAATGTAGCGGGGTTTCGGTTTCCGAAGAGTAAAGAAAATTTAGCTAGCAAAAGTCATCATTTATATTTTCATGACAGTTCCATGTAAAAAAAACTTTTGGGCGGTTTGTATGAGACGAGTCAAGAAGTCTTGATTACGAGGAAATGTTGAAGTCTTGATTACGAGGAAATGTTTAATAATGGGTTGTGTGGAGAAACAGACATAACATCATGAGAAGAAACATTAACTTTTCGCTCTTCATTTCTTCACAGATTGTTTCCCCTCCACCCAACAAGCCCATCATAGAAAGTAAGTGTGAAGTGTACATTCTGGTATAGTAGTTACAGCTTTCGTTCACTTTCAACTGACTGTGGTTTAAACATGATAAAATGAAATCGCTTTGTTTAATCTTCTCAAATCTCTGCGTGTATGGGTCTTGAAGTTGGATGACCAACAGAATCTAAAATCCCATTCATAAAGGTCATTGCAAACTAAAATTCATTTTCTTTGATGTAAGTCTAAAGCAGGTAAAAAAATAATAGGGTATTTTTAGCATACACACTAAAAACATTCAAAAAGTTGACATGTTTCCCTTAACACCACACTTTAATATTGGCCAAAGAAACACGATTCAAGAGATAGGGTGAATAATTTTCGAGACTCACGTGGCCATGTCTAGACAGCGGGGGGTGGGTGGGGGGGGGGGGGGGTTCTACCTATCCTGTGTTTGCATTCAAAGAGCGGTTTTTAATATAGGGCTCAAAGAGAAAGACTTTTTTATGACTGGATGAAGATTTGAAAAAATAAATTTTTGTGTGGTCGCTGGCCTGTAGAAGTGCCATGCAAATTTTCGTGGGCATAGGTAAATTAATGAATGAGCTACAAATATTTTTAATGCGGGCAGACGAAAGTGAACAAGCTATTATAACTTGTTAGTTCAGTAGTAGCATGTATGAAGTAGTTGCTTGCTCCCTGTGCTTCTGTTGTTAATCCATGTTTTAGGAATGTCTCTTGTTTTTGCTCATGAAAGAGATATATATGGAAGTGTTTTCTGTTGAAATTGGAAGTGAAAGTGTCATTTTGGGCTTAGTAAATTAGTTGTTTTTATTTGTTCAAGTGACTTGTTTCTTCCTTTTTTTCCCCCTTACCTTTGACACAGGCCATTGGTATCTCGGGCATTGGATGTGTTATGCACACTTTTCATAATATGCGTTGAAGTGTTTCATGAAGTATGGGTGTCATGTGTGCATTGTGAAAGACGTAATGTGTGTTATTTGTAGGGTGGGTGTTGTTTTTTTTTTAGAGGTAATTTGTATTAAATAACATGCATTTAAACCTGCCATTCGATTAAGACGTAGTGTGTTTCAGGGTTTGATATAATGTTAGAAATTTTGTTTTTCTAATGGATTTCAAGCACAATGTATGCTGGATTTGCAGGCCAGAGCGCATTATGTCAGTCCAGAATAGAGACCTCATGTGGTAGTCACACTTTTAGACCAGAGCATTTTGTATCAATGTGTGTCTAGCCATCTTCTGTTCCTAACTCTCAGGGAATGAGTGGCTGCTCTTCACGGGCCAAACGCCCCAACCCCCCCTCCCACTTTTTTTTTTCTCCCACCATCATTGACTCAAGCACCTACCATCAATGACTCGGGCGTTTTAAGACTTAAATGTGTCCCTGCCTATGGCCTCATAATCTTCCTCTTCGTACTAAGTCCACTCAGTCACTACGCTCTGCCCATCCCAGTAGATTTCCAGCATAAAGTCATGTCTCTGTGTGTTGTTTCAACTTTCAGCGAGCGTCAAACGGAAAGGAACGCCAAGAAAACGTCGGGGTGAGTTGTTAAGTTTTTGCCGTATACTGGTCACAATCAAACCACAGTTTGACTGCTATGCACGACTCTGTTGGTACATAAAGACCGTTTTTTAAATTTTGTTTGGCTTACTTCTTTTTGTCTTGGTACTTTTTATTAGTTTGTCATCTCTCTTTCTTTTTTTTTTTTAGTTTGGACTTATTTTTAGTTGGGTTTTTTTTTCAGTTGGTGGCTTCCTAATGTGTGAATTGTTGATATCACAGCACCTGCCATTTAAGTCCCCCATGTGCTATCAACAGTTAAAAAACCAGTGCATTATTCGTGTCCTACAGGTCTATCACCCTTGCCCTTGCCTATGCTGAGATGCTATACTGTCCGCGCCGGCTTTAAGCACGCCGGCTTAAAGCACGTTTCGGACTCAAGCACGCTAAATGGCTCTTACCGAATTTTTGCTATACAAATTACACGCCTTTAAGCACGGTAACTTCGGCTTCAAGCACGCTTCATTTACTAGACAGTCAATATTTTCATGATGACCCATCGAAGTTCGAACACAGTTTACACCGCAGCAGTGGAGTGTGTCAAGAGAAACACAAAGAACGCAAGTGATGGACACACACACACACTCACACAGCGGAGAGGAAGGCAGAGAGATGCACACAGCCGCGCGCGCGGACATAGGATCTAGCCTAGGCCTAGGCCAAAGCTACACACGACCAAAAAAAATACAAAGAGAGTCGGGGAGACGCGAAAGGGAGGCTGGCTGCGATTTCACCTTTGACCCTCGTTATCCATTAATCCTGATTGTGTATCACGCGCGAGGTGGGATGAAGGCGGTGGTATGAGTTTCACAGTGGGCAGTGGTACGCACAGACATTGTGTAGGCCTAGTGTGCTGTATTGTAACTGGCCGTCTGAATTAAGTTTTCATTTCCCATTCGACCACAAAACAAAAACAAACAAGCGAACAAAAACTTACCATTGCGGGTGTCTAAATAACAGTGCACACTTTTGCGGGACCGCTATAGGCCTACTTACAAACAAAGGGAAATAGCACAAGAAATTTTCGACATGATAATCTCTGGAATATGTCTACTTAGCACTCAAGCACGCTTCGGCTTTAAGCACGCTTAAGCTTTCTACCGATGACCGTGCTTAAAGCCGGCATGGACTGTATTTGTATGGCAGCATTGCTGATTCAATATGTTCATTTATGTTCTAAGAAGCTGTTTCATGTGAAGTTTTTAATGTAGGCTCAACCCTGCTCAGATTTTACATTTGCATCCTTGCCGGCATTATGCTTCCTCATATAATTTCTACTACCTTCCGCTCATGCCTGCAATGCAAGGTAAAAGAACGTTTAGTATTAAAAATCAGCAATGCCTAAGACAGCAGCTTGTGGTATGTTGTTCGCTCCCTCTCCCCCAAATATAGGTACACATTTTTTTATGGTGCTGCACAAGGTGATACGATACATCTTACACAGCTACCAGGCTGTCTGAAACAATCATGTATACGCTGGCGACTTCATTTTGTTGACAAGAACAGTGTTAGATCTGTCTGGTTGTTTATATTATTATACATTTGTGCATGTTGTGTTGGCAAAAGTGCATTTGTGTGTAATATTTGTATCAACAAAGAAGCGATATATGGCATGTTGTGAAAGTGTGCTCAGAAATATTGTGAAAGTATCAGCACCGGTGCGGTGGTGTGTTGTGCATGTGAAACGAACAGGTGCTTATGCTGTGGGGTCATTTTGTGACTTGACCACTTTGTTTTGGTGCAGCAAGTGGTTTTTGTCAAACTCATGTTGCAGGGAATTTTAAAGCATTTAGAAAAGATATAACATGCATGGTTGAGAAGATCGTGTCAGCTGTGTGAAGTGGCCAATTTGAATAGAACCATGGTACAGTGCTTTTAAGAGGTTTTTATTAGGACCTTGGTTTAGATCTCCATTTTTTCATGAATTCATTATTGAAGTAAGTTGTTTGCCATATAATATAAATGGTCTTTTATGAATGTAAAGTTCCTCTAGAAATTGGTATATATTGATAAATCACCATTTTTTCATGAATTCTATAATGAAGTCAGTTTTGTATGAATATAAAAGGTCTTTGTAAATAAAAGGTCCCACTAGAATATATGCTATATTGTAGAGTAGATTTTTTGCCAAAGAGGAGGCGGGGGAAAAAAGGTGGGTGGGGTGAGGGGTTGCATGGCTGTGGGCTTCGGCTGTAGGAGGTCTTTAGTAAGATCATCCAGACAGTTAATAGGTAATTATGTATGGTCTGTACGGGGTTACTGGGATACAAAGCTGCTAACATATAATTTTTCAGTTTTTTTGGTGACCTCAACCAGAACTTGTATACATAGAATTTTAAAATATCAAAACCAGTGACATGAAAACACGCTCAAATGCTGCTGATTTTTATGAGATTGATTTTAAGCATGTTTGTTTTTTGTTGGTTCGATATAATAGGTGTGTTTTTGTTTGCTTTTGCCCATTGACCATTGTCCAGCAGGTATGAACTAGCCGGTTCATGATGTGTTCCTTGTTTTGTTTTCTCTAGACGATGTTATATGTCTGTCTGATTCTGATGATGAAGTGCAAACAAAGCCGCAAAAAGAAGGTAAAGTATTTCAGCTCGTGCTCAATGTGTCAGTGTCTCATCTTACAGTTTGTTTTCAAATTCAATGTGTCAGTGTTTCACCTCACAGTGTGTGTGTTAAATATTTCAGTGTCTGACCACACAGTTTGTGTTAAATTTCTCAGTGTTTCCACTTACCATCTGTTAAATGTCTTTGTATCTGTGTGAAAAGTTGAATGTCACAGGGCGGGTGGTTGGCAGATTCTCTGGTATCATTTTTCTCTTTCTTTCCTGTGAAATATCTATCATCCTTGTCTTTGCTCCTCCTTTTTTGTGTTTATTACTCTTTTGTAACACCCCTATTTTGAGGCACTTTTGTGACGAATGTGTTGCAAGTGCACTATAACACCTACTAAAACAAATTAAATGTCTCTGTCTTTCACCACACAGTTTGTGTAAAATGTCTAAGTGTCCCAGTGTGTCCACTTACCATGTGTTAAAAGTTAAATGTCTCTGTATCTGTGAAAGCAGCTTGTGGTGTCTGAAGACTTTGTAGGCTTTTTTTAGTACTTTTACTATGAGTGGTAAAGACCCTGAAAACATTGTAAAATTAGCCTCAGGTGACTTGCAGGGTAACCACACTGTTTCTGAAAGCTCAATAGTTTGGAAAGTGTACATTATAAAAAAGAAAATTACCTGCAGTAAATTTTTTTTAAAAGTTCAGCTTGCTGGTGACCCCTGCTTCGTGGGTGGTTGGTGGGTGCTCTGGTGTGGCTTGCTCCTTCTTTCCTATCATCTTTATCTTCCCTTCTTCTTTTTTATGTTTTTTACTCTGTTGTAACACCTCTAATCTTCGGCACTTATATGACCTAATTGTGTTGCAAGTGCTGTAAAATGCTTACAAAAACAAAAAAGACCCCAGCTTCAGTGGCCGTTTTTTTTTTTTTCATTTTGAAAAATGAAAGTAGACATTTCTTAGCTGTGAAAAAAAATCACAGCTGTTTTTGTGCTTCTTTTTGTATCCGTCTCACCTCCGCTGCTATGTTGAATGTCAATGTCACTGTATCTCCTCCCAACGTGTGCTAAATTACCTCTGTGTCTCCCTTTAGTTTGTGTTTAATGTCTCTGCCGCCCCTCATCTCAGACTATGCTGAACTGAATTTCTCAATGTCTCACCAGGTCACGCGCTGGATACTTTTGGATCTCCCCTCCCACTGTCTCTATACTCTCTATCTCATCTCTTCCTGTGTCACTCATTATCGTGTCACCAGCGTGTGTGGTCAGTTATCCATAACATCATTTATACACCCAAGCAAACTAGAGATCTGTGTTGTCTTGCTAGAGTTTTGTGACTTCAGCTTTCTGTGTTGTGTTTATAGATAAGTCTGTGTGTTTTGTTTGAAGAGATGTGTGTGTGTGTTTGTGTATGTTTTCTTTTTTTGGGGGGGGGGGGGACTTTTTTTTAAGGCTAGAGTTCTGTGTGCTGGGTTCTTATAGCTCTGTGTGGTGGGTTTTGGAGACCTGTATTGTATTTCTAGAGTTCAATGTATTGTGATTTTAGAGACCTGTGTGTTGTATTCTTAGAGATGTGTCTGTTGTATTGTAGGTGTAGAGGACTGTATTGTACGGGTACTATGACACCAGAATCACAGTCCAAGCACTCCGTGTTGTGGAAATTTGTAGTGTGTTGGTGGTGGTAGCTCTGGTGCGCTTTTATCCTTCTTTTTTCTATCAAACATCTATCTATGGTTCTCATCTCTCCTCCTTTTATTAAATTAGTATGTTACTGTCTAGTAACACGGCTAATCATCTGCACTTGCATATGTCTAAATTGTGTTGCAAGTGCTGTAAATACTCAAAGATCCTTCCGAGAACAAGCACTCCTTGTTGTGGGGATTTGAATGCCTAGATACCCGTTGAGTTGTGGACGCATCCTAGGGAACTCTGTGTTACCAGCAGCTTTAAGCGCCCAGAGCTGTGCGCATACAAGACTAGGTGCTATTATAAAAATGATCAACGTTATTAGTATTGATATTGTTACATTATGGTGTCTGTGGCCTGTCTTCTCTCTATGGAAGTGGAAAGCTTACATTAGGAGGTGTGGAATTCTGCTATTGCAATGCTGTCTTGTTGAACCAGCCGTGTTGCTTGAACAGTTACTGGTTCTTGTTGCTCCTGGATTTGTGGAATCTCACCTATTGAATTACGGGTTTGTTTTAGAATTTGAAGTGCTAAAAACTGCACATGTTTGTTTACAGCACAGAACATTGCTCAGCATTCTTTTTCAGTATGTATGAGTGTGCTCAGGGGCTGAACCCTTCCCATAGCTCTCCCATCCTGGCCTGTTTGCTGTTTTTGTGTATATATCTGCCTAATGCACAACCTCCTCTTTCTCCCCAAATGATATATGTTTATGTATTGTGTGATATCAACTTGACACTCCCTCCTCAAATCCCAATCTCAAATAGAATGAGTATTATGTGTATGCCTTCTTGGCTGACCAGTCCTCCTCTGCCATCAATTATAGTAAGTTGTCTGGGTATGAGATGTCTGAACCTTTCCTCTGCTGATTGAGTTGTTTATAAATTTGGTGTATTTTTGACTCTCTTGTTCTCTCTCTTTGTGTTGTCCCAGGCAAGCGACGGAAAGATGGCAGTGCTGAGGCTGTGTCACTGCTGGTGGCTGCCACCACAGCTTCCTCCCTCCCTGTAGCCTCAGTGTCCATGGCGACCTCTGTTACCTCCACTGGTCGCTTAAAGTCTCATGGTGTGACAGGCGCAAACAGCCAATCGCCAGTCGTAATGGTGGTGGCCCAACATGCCAGTTCCGCACCCGGCCTTCGCTCTCTCTTGCCGAGACACGCCCACCCCTCCACTGCCTCTGGTCTAGGCGGCAAGGTGCTTCAGCCCACGGCCTCGGGGGTATTGGGGTCATTCCCACTTATCTCCACGCTCCCTGTGGGGGCTAAAGCCATCAGTGTGGGGAGCCTACCCCCCGGGATGACGGCAGTCCCCATCACTTCCCTGCCCCCGGGTTCCCCTCAGACCATGACGTTTTTCACCACTGTGCCCCCCAGTCCCGGGGGCGCCCCCCTTCCCGTCTCGCTCAGTGCCACAAACTTCATTGGTGTGCCTGGCGCCAAGCAGCCTTCCTCTGCCCTCAGCTCACAGCTCAAGACCAAGTCCTTGATTTCATCCTCATCCTCGTCCACTTCCGTTGCATCCAGCACATTCTCATCTTCACTTTCATCATCATCCTCGTCGCCATCATCCTCGTCGACGTCAGCCAAATCCAAGTCGTCACCCGCCGTGGCTCAAGTGAGCTCGGACTCCCTCCGTGCCCTGTTGGTGGGCAAGCCCCACACGTTCGCTCGCGTGAGCGTGGCCTCCTTCATGAACCCGTCTCAGATGTCCTCCACGCCCATGCTGCTCCAGATGGTGCCTAGCTCTGCAGCCGGACTCTTACCCGTGGTCACTTTAGGCTCTGCAGCCAGCTTGCCAGGTCTGGTCAAGACGTCAGTGGCTTCGTCGCGCAGCTCGTCCATCAAGTCCAGCTACTCCCTCATCAAGCCACAGGCCTCGGTGGTGCCCAACGGCGTCTCCTGCCTCACCCCGCCCAAGACACCTACCTCCAATGGGGCCTCGGAGATGGCGGTCGCGGCGGGACTCACACGGGTCAGTACAGAGTCATAACTGTGCCTTGTGTGATGGTGTCGTGGAGAGGGGGACTACAGGGACATAGCTCTGTCACAGGGGAGCGTAGTGATGGTATAAATTGTGTGTCACATAGATGTGGGCAGATGGAAAATGCCAATGTATTACATAATGTGTTTGGGGGGGGGGGGGTGGAATTAGGAGATGATACCCTTGTTTTTTTTTGTAGTCTAAAGTGTCTTATGTGAACTAATGACCTTTTTTTCCCCTGCCCTCTGTCTGTGCTCGTTTGCATCTCAGTTTGTATGTTTATGCATCTGCTCATCTCTATGCTCTTACCTGTTTGTGTTTCTGTTTGTGTATGTGTCTGTCTAGGTGTGTGTTTGTCTATCTCTGTCTGTGGATGCAGTCCAACAGCCCGGTTGGTTGGAAAGTGCCATAGGTAGTGCTTTTCTGTCCGTTTGTCGTTATCTTTCCCTGATCTATACAATGGTTAAATTGTGTGGATGTAATTGTGTCTCAGTTGGTGGTTGGCGGGTGCTGTGGTGTGGTTAGCTCCTTTATCATCATCATCATTGCCTTTCTCACCCTGCACCAGGGTATAGGCCATGGACAAACACCCTCCATTTTTCTTTATCCTGGGCTAGCTTCTTGATGTTATTCCATGTCTTCCCACTTTTCTGTACATCAAAGTGTGCTCCTTCTTTCCTATTAATTATCTATCGTCTTTATCCCAACTTTTTTTTGCGTTGGTTACTCTCTTGTGACACCTATTATTCGACACTTGTATGACCTTTGTTGTGTTGCAAGTGCTTTAAAACTCATATTGAAACGAACAAATCATATCCCACAGCCCGTGTCGGGTCAGGTGGAGGACAGCGAGGTGATCCCACTGTGTAGCTGTAAGATCAACGGTGCTTCCTTCAGCAAGCTCACCAACTCCCTCACCTACTGCCAGGCCCTCGACTCTGTGGACCACAAGGTCAGTTACCCACAAGTGACGCGGCTCTCTCTACAGGACTGATTTCAATTTCGTAGCTTTAGGCCGACTTGCCAATCTCTCCGTTTCCGCATTTTTTTGGGGGGTAAATATTTTATGTTTCTAGAAGCACAATTTAGACCAGGGTTTAGGAATTTAGGCTGGCTGGTTTTGATCAACCGGGCTTGAGAGTGGGATACAGTTTTCCAGCAGACAAAGAGAAAAAAAATTCCAGGGGGGGGGGGGGATTGGGGATTAAATTACATCTTCTGCGTGCAACAGGGAAGACAGAAGAGCTTAACTATTACAAAGAAGTAATATGTTCACAATAGAATGAATATTCCTTTCTCTTTTACTTTGGTGTGGTTTGTTCCTTCTTTTCCATAAACATTTGTCGTCTTTATCTCTCCTTTTTTGTGTATGTTACTCTCTTGTAACACATCTGTTCGTCGACACTTATATGACCATATTGTGTTGCAAGTGTCGTAAAACTCTTACTAAAACTAAAACTGTTATGTTTGTGCATGTCCACAGGTGCTAGGCTGCTGTAACAAAGTGACCAACCCTCAGCTGGTTCGTCCAGGGGTCAAGATTCCATTCATGGCTGTGTGTGAGGTACACCGCAGGAGGCTGAAGCTACACCAGTGTTGTCCAGGCTGTGGTCACTTCTGTACTCAGGTGAGGGGTCTGTGGGGAGGAGAGGGTATTTGCTGCCAGTGTACTAGTTTTGATTTTTTTTTTTTGGGGAGGGGGGGGGGGGTGCCACTGGTAGGTCCTGCTTTTATATATCATGGGTGTAAATATTCCGCTATTAAGCGGATTTTGCTACCACCTTTTCTTCCGCTAAACTCCGCTACCCAGTAATGCACCACCACTTTCTGTACTTACTCTAGAATGTAAATATTTGTAAGTGGCTCTTTTACTTGAAATGATCTTCCAAACCCTCAAACTGGTTTGAAATAACCTTGCTTTGATAAATTGATGGTTTTTATTTCAGCGTTCTAGGTTTAAACAGTATAATAATAATGGGTGTCTCGTGAAAGTAGTCTTCTGTAGCAATCAAGCGGAAAGTTCCTCCTTTTTAAAAATTCTGATTTGAGACCCATGATATATGGAAGGAGGAGAATTTTGTGGGTTGCCAGTTTCAGTTTCGCACTGTCTGTGTTTGGATGTCTTGAAGGAGTCACTGATTGGTTTTTCTTTTCTTTCCCTCAGTTTGTTCTATCTTGATTGTACTATGGTTGATGGGCGCTGTGGTGTGGTTTGCTCCTGCTTCCATGCCAAACATCTATTGCCATTAGCTCTCCTCATTCTTTTCTTTATATGTTACTCTCTTCAGAAACATCTCTTTTCTTTGGCACTTGTTATGACTTATTTGTGTTGCTTGTGCCATAAAACTCTTACTAAAATTAAAACAGTCTGTTTTACAATCTAACTGCCTGTCTGTGTCTCATGATCTGTTTTTCTGTGTATATGTATAGGCCAAAGGTCTTGAACAAAGATGGCTGCTGGAGAGGATAAGTAAAGTTTGACAAAATGTGTCTATTGTATGATCGGTTCAGTTTGGTTTGGTAGGCGGGGGCTTGCCAGATTGAGGGCGAAAAGTGACCATTGTGGCACAACCGAACGAAGTCGACGATAACCTTAAAAAACAAACTCGTTTGTTTTCAAGGTTGTGACTTGGCAGATCGGTTTGTGACAGAGAACTGATTCCCCAATGGGCACTGGGTGTTACATTTGTCTTACAGTCTACATGTGGGTGGTTGTTGGGTTCTCTGGTGTGGTTTGCTCCTTCTTTCCTACCTAACATCTATCGTCCTTGTCTCTCCTCCTACTTTTTTTCTGTATGTTACTCTCTTGTAACGCTTCTATTCTTCGGCACTTATAAGAGCTTATTGTGTTGCGAGTGCCATAGAACTCTTATAACAAAAATACAGTCTGCCTATGTCTCACACTCTTCCTGTCTTTGTGTGTGTGTGATAGGGCAAGTTCCTGCAGTGCCGACGGGAGGGTAAGTCCTCGGTGCACAACTTCCACAAGCAGTGCATGTTCTACCGCGGGGGCAAGTACTTCTGTCCCCACTGTGGCGAGGAGACCAGCCAGTGTGAGGTCGACCTGCGCCTCTCTGAGGAGAAGAAGCCAGAGGAGCTGAAGGTGTCTTCACGCCCTGCACGCAGGGAGGCAGAGTGAGTCCCACGCTTGATCAGCCCCTCTGTTCTTCTGCCTCTCTTGATCAGCCTCTCTGTTCTCCTGCCTCTCTTGATTAGCCCCTCTGTTCTTCTGCCTCTCTTGATCAGCCTCTCTGTTCTCCTGCCTCTCTTGATTAGCCTGTCTGAGTTTGTGCCTGACTGTCTCTCGATTAGCCAGTCTCTGTCTGTCTGCCTCTCTTGATTAGCCTGTCTGGGTTTGTGCCTGACTGTCTCTCGATTAGCCAGTCTCTGTCTGTCTGCCTCTCTTGATCAGCCTGTCTGTCTTCTGCCTCTCTCGATTTGCTTGTCTGTGTCTGTCTGCCTGTGTCGATCAACCTGTCTGAGCCTGTGTCTGTCGCTCTTGATTAGTCTGGTAAACCTGTTGTAAGGTCTCCTTGGCAATGTATGGGTTGACATTGATGTGTGCTGGTGGTTGGACATTGGAGGATACCACTGGTAGCTTTTCTATCTCTTTGTTGTTTTTATTTGATTTGTCTGACTTCTCCCTTCACTAAATGTGCTGTTATTGTTTTGATTTGCACCTCTTACTTACTCTCGAACAAAACAAGCCATCTGTCATTCATCATGTGATTTAAGAAGACGTGTTCTTTCCAGACGCAAGACAGCTCGCATGGGCCCAGACAAGAACTTCATCAAGAGCAAGTCGACAAATGAGCCAAAGGCAAAGACTCTCAGGCTTTCCAACAAGTCTGTTAGTTTAGGTAGGTAAATTGTTGCGTGGATGCGACGTATAAGGAAAATAATTTTTACACTTGTGGTGCAATTGGTCAGTTGTTTTTTTTTAGCAGTTGTTACAAGTAAGGTACTTTCTTGAGTGGCTGTGACCCACAAGAAAGTCGAGTAAGTGGTGAAATATTTTGAAAATTGTTTAGTTGTGATGCATTAGTTTCAGTAAACTGTTTAGTAGATGGTGCTCGTGGTTTGGGTTTACTGGTGTTGAGAGATAATCCCGCCTCGCTCTGGGGGCTTTCCGCACTTCTCCGGTGGAGAGCCTCCAGGCCGAGGCCAACATACCACCACTCTCACTCAGACGAACACAACTCTCACTACAATACGCAGTTAAACAGAGCTCAACACCGGAAAATCCAGCGCACAACAGCATTTTTCAAACAAATCCAGAAACCAGAAACAGATTCCAAAACAACGAAAAACTCATCAAACCTTTCGGCCTCAGAATCCTCGAGGACCTCAAAAACTTACACTTTTCCAAACAAGACATCCAACAAATTCTTTTCCCCGACCTCCCTCCGTGGCACCTCACCAAGGCAAAAGTAGATTTACAGCTGACCACACACAACAAAGAAAGCACAAACACCAAAACTTTTCAAGCAGAATACAAAAAACTAATAGATAAATACCCCGGTGCGGAGCTCATCTTCACGGATGGCTCCAAAAAAGACAATGAAGTGGGCGCCGCAGCCCTATCTCCCAACAATACACACCAGAGGAGACTCCATCCTGAAGCCTCCATTTTCACTGCGGAGGCCACTGCCATTGACATGGCACTGGACTCTGTAGAAAATTCCCTAACAAATCTTTCCTTATCCTTTCTGACTCTCTGTCTTGCATCACTTCACTCACAAACTACACACTCCTACACCCAAAAATAGTTGGGCTACAACAGAAAATCCATACACTATCCGAAACAGGAAAAAACATCATGTTCGCATGGATACCCAGCCATGTGGGCATCCGAGGAAACGAGCAGGTAGACGACCTGGCGAAGAAAGCTTCATCCCTTCTGCTGGGATCAACGACAAACACTCTCCCACAGACGTGACTTTAGAAATAAAGTCAAAAAGTACACCTCCAGTCTGTGGGAGAGCCACTGGGAAAACCAGAAAAATAATAAATTATATGAAATTAAACCCAGACTAGAACAGCGAAATCCTTCGGATCTCTCCAGAAGAGACGAAGTCATTTTTACTCGATTGCGCATCGGACACACGGCCCTGACCCACAAATACCTCCTACAGGGAGAGGAGAAGCCGTTCTGTGCCGGATGCGACACAGATTTTACCATTAGACACATTTTAACAGAATGTCTAGACTTTGGAGAGATCCGAAGGAAATATTATAAATGCAAGAAATTGCAGGATATTTTCTCCGTCGTTGTTCCCAGCAGAATTTAAAATTTTATAAAGGCCATTGGCCTTTATGGCGAGTTGTAAAGTGAATCTGATATTATTAAAATTTTTTATTGTTACTTAAAAGTTGTTTTAGATCACAAATGTGTTTACACCGAATTTGAATATTTTAACTTTTTAGCATCTTATAGTAAATTAGTTACCAGTCGTGAAGTGAACTTTCGCAGAGGTGAACAACTTGTGTTTCGCGCGCTCATATGACCTTAGCAGTTGCGAGCGCCGTAAAACCTTATACTACTACTACTACTACTACCTGTGTATTGTTATATCCACCATCTTCTAGTGACCAGTAGTCTAGTCTATGAATGGTGGTTTTAGCTGTCTGGAACAAAATTGTCTTTCCAGACTCACCATTTTCAAGCATTCTAACATTGCCCAGTGTGTAGATGATATTATCTTCTAGCTGTGTATTGTTTTACCATACATCTCTCACAAGTTTTTCTTGTCTTGTGTATTTTAAAACTATACTTTGTTCGATTGATGATCTCGACAAGTGGGTGGATGGCGGATGCTCCAGTGTGGTCTGCTCCTATTGTCCTATCAAATGTGTGTGGCTCTGAGAAAACCCTTCACAAGGTGCAAAATTTCAAAATGAACTTTTTTGCATATTTTAAAAGACACATCTTTTCCGAGCATTTTGCACTTTATTTGAAAGCAATTGGAGCATTCTGTGAAAAGTTATGGCATTTTAAAGCGAACAGGGGTTCGAGTGTCAAATTTTGAGAAAACAGGTTTTAAAGTTTTGCTTACTTTGGGAACACATTTTCCATGATGACAATGCATAGAAGCAAATAATGCTGATACCACAGCATTGAGGTGCCATTTGTGGACGTACACTTTATGAGGGACTTCCCACTGTTTCACAACATCCTTTTACATGGTGGAATGAACATGGAAGAGTAGCGTGCTGATGACTCAAAAGAGAAGCGAAGAAGAGGCAAAAGTATGCTTGTCATAATGGATTGTCATCATGTTATGAACGTGACATTGTGTCATAATGGTTATGAACGAAACCTTATTCCATGTAATTTACAGTTGTTTTGGGATGTATTTTTAATTTTAACCCAACTTGAGGATGTATTAGACCTTGCTTACATTCTGATATTTTGATTTTTATCATAAGTGTATGGGTATGTATTTTAATCAGTATTTTTCTTTTGTAGTAATTGTTATGAACGAACTACATATTGTACTCTGAGGGCTTTCCAGAGTTGATAAACATTAAAAACATGTACACAGATACATATTATGAGGAAACTTTCATTTAATATAAAATTTTAAAGTAAATGACCGGTCAAAATATTAATTTTTAGGTCAAAACTGAAGTTTGTCATAATAGTTTCCGATGACAACCCACCAACGGCGCAATGATGGATACCGGCTTACCATCGGTTTCCGATGACAACCCACCATCGGCACGATGATGGATACCGACTTACCATCGGTTTCCGATGACAACCCATCATTGGCACGATGATGGATACCGACTTACCATCGGCACGATGATGATTACCAACCCACCATCGGCACGATGATGATTACCGACTTACCATCGTTTTCTGATGACAACCCACCATCGGCGCGATGATGGATACCGACTTACCATCGGTTTCCGATGACAATCCATCATTGGCACGATGATGGATACCGACTTACCATCGGCACGATGATGATTACCAACCCACCATCGGCACGATGATGATTACCGACTTACCATCGTTTTCTGATGACAACCCACCATCGGCGCGATGATGGATACCGACTTACCATCGGTTTCCGATGACAATCCATCATTGGCACGATGATGGATACCGACTTACCATCGGCACGATGATGATTACCAACCCACCATCGGCGCGATGATGATTACCGACTTACCATCGGTTTCCGATGACAACCCACCATCGGCACGATGATGGATATCGACACACCATCGGAAACCGACGACAAGCCACCATCGGCGCGATGATGGATACCGACTTACCATCGGTTTCCGACGCCAACCCACCATCGGCACGATGATGATTACCGACTTACCATCGGTTTCCGATGACAACCCACCAACGGCGCGATGATGGATACCGACTTACCATCGGTTTCCGATGCCAACCCACCATCGGCGCGATGATGGATATCGACACACCATCGGAAACCGACGACAAGCCACCATCGGCGCGATGATGGATACCGACTTACCATCGGTTTCCGACGCCAACCCACCATCGGCACGATGATGATTACCGACTTACCATCGGTTTCCGATGACAACCCACCATCGGCACGATGATGGATATCGACACACCATCGGAAACCGACGCCAACCCACCATCGGCACGATGATGATTACCGACTTACCATCGGTTTTCCGATGACAACCCACCATCGGCACGATGATGGATACCGACTTACCATCGGTTTCCGATGCCAACCCACCATCGACGCGATGATGGATACCGACTTACCATCGGAAACCGACGACAACCCACCATCGGCGCGATGATGGATACCGACTTACCATCGGTTTCCGATGACAACCCACCATCGGCGCGATGATGGATACCGACTTACCATCGGTTTCCGATGACAACCCACCATCGGCACGATGATGGATACCGACTTACCATCGGTTTCCGACGCCAACCCACCATCGGCACGATGATGATTACCGACTTACCACCGGTTTCCGACGACAACCCACCATCGGCACAATGATGGATACCGACACACCATCGGAAACCGACGACAACCCACCATCAGGACGATGTCGGGTTCCCACACACTATCGGAAACCGATGATCACCCAACATCAGAACGATGTCGGATAAATGTGTCTTTCCGATGGTCAACCGATAGCACCGCTGTCACACCATAGCCTTTACTTTGTCCATGCTCCCATCCCTATTTTATCTTAGTCGTTTGATCTTAAAAATAATTCCCTCAATCAAAAGTTGAATCCATGTCTCTAATTCAAGATGTTCTTATAAAATCAACACCAAGGTGTATATATATATGTTAGTACAATTTCCCCAAACCTAGACCATGAGTCCATTAACAGTAAGACATGAGACTGCAGCCGTGGGTAAACAAGCTCAGCTGTGTGGGGGTTTAGTTTTGGTATAGAGGTTTTACAGCGCTCGCAACTGCATAAGGTCATATGAGCGCCAGAAGTCGTGTGTGGCTCTGAGTTAAAAAATGATGTTAAAGCACAAAAGTAAATTAATTTGGTTGTCTACAAAGATGCTACGGCTATTTAACTTTTCGAATCGAGCCGAACTACGCGGGTCGCCATTTTGTTTTGACCGGAAGTCGCGCTACTCCTCTCTTTCTCTCTCTCTCTCTCTCTCTCTCCACTGCCCACAGACAAAATTGTACGCTTTTAGTAGGCTACAGTTGTAATGGAATTCTACAATTTTTCTGTTATCACAGTGTAGAATTCTGTAGTTTAGGGTGAACACAAAATTTGTTGGCCTAGATCTAGGCTATAACGGTGAACGCGCACCGGGTGAGAATAGCTCAAAGACTCGCCTGCACTATTCTCACCCCGGGTGAGAATAGAGGTGGCCGACTAGTATAGAAGCTGGGACTGCGGGTATGGTAAACCTTGCTTACCTTCTGATGATGTTATGCCAATTGGTTGAACAGGAACCAGGACTTCTTCATGAAGTTCCAGATTCCAGATCATGGTCATGAGCAGGGGGTGTGGGTGTGTCACGGCCACGGTCGTCGTCGTAATTGGTTCATCATGTGTCTCCTCCTCCAAACTAGAATCTACTGTCTTCACAATCAATAGGTCTTGCATTGAAATAATCAATAATCAGTTCATCCAATTCATTTTCGTCTGATTTGTCTCATTCCAATCCGACTGAGATCGTTCCACATCGATGAAATACGCCACTCAGCTGATCGGTCCGCCATCTTGAATCAAATAAATTATGTAAACAAAAGCGCTCGACCACTTGGAAACAGAAAACAATCAGTTAACTTACAGTAAACTCGGAAAAAAACACTTCGTAGAGCAGAACAAAGAACTTAAAGTCAATAAGGAACAGTTCATATTTGGTTTGAACGGCAGGAAATAGTACATTAGATGTTAAACTGCATTCATGACAAATACCATTTCAGAAGTGAAACTACAACATGCGCAACTCACAGAACTATTTGTAATGTTCACACATTCATGCGCATTGGGTTTTCCCGAAACGGCAATAAAATTCTCTCTCTTTTGATGTATAATTCGTGAGGGTTCCCGTGGAAAGAAGTGTCTATCCGATTGAGTAAATATGCCCCCTGTTTGTCTAAGAATTCAGCGTAATACGGCGACGATATGTCCTCAAAAATAATTATTTAATATATTTTCAATCACTTTTGAGCAAATTTCTTAAAACATATGATGTAGATATGGTCTATCTTTCTGAATTTCATATAATTTAGTTTTCGATAAAAATAAAGTTCAGGGCCTATTTTTAGCGATATCTTAGAATAGCTTCTCGCACCTTCCGACGGGTTTCCTCAGAGCCGCTCACAAATGTCTGTTGTCATTATCTTTCATCCTCTTTTTTTTTTTTTGCGTTTGTTACTCTCAAGTCATTCTTGGCTCTTCAAGGACTTAATTATGTTACAAACACTGTAAAACGTTTAATAAGAGACGATCTCTCTGGTGAATTTCTTGTGTGTATTGTTGTTTCAGACACGATGTTGCTGGGTCCTGATCAGCTGGCTCTGAATAGAATCAACCGCTGCCTCAGTGAGGACAGGTGAGCCCTCTCCCTCTCTCTCATTTTCATGTTGCTTGTCGCTACATTTAGATTGCAAAGTTCTCTCTAACATTTTTTGGCTGTTTTTAGTTATCGGTTCTAGGACCAAGAGGTCAGAAACCAAATGTTCTATCTGCACTATCAAAATAGTAAGATTATTCGGAGTCGAATTGCATTTGAAAAAGCTTGACATTTTGTGAAATTCAAATTTTTTAAACGTCAAATTACTCAAAACTAGATACTGAGAAGAGAGAATTTGGTGATTCTGGGGTAGTGTTGTGCTTGTGTATCTGTGTTGGTTTTTTTTTTCTGAACAGACTCCTCTGCCTCAAAGTGGATGGTTGTAGAGTGCCACTGGCAGGTTGTACTTCTATTTTTTTTTCTTTCCCTATTATTTTTGTCTGCCTGTCTTGCTTTTTTCTTGGACTAGTAGATGACCATCGTTGTGTTGATGCGATTCTCTTCACTCAAAACAAACATACTGCTGCCTCAGTGACAGCAGGTCAGCCTCTTCTCTCGCCATGTTGCTTTTGTCTGTTCATGTATGTGTGTATGTGCACACGTGTGCTCTGTGTTTCTGACTTGTAACTTAACAACTGATAGACGTCATCGTGTCAGTTGTTATTGTTGTTATCGGTCCAGCATAGTGTCAGTTAAGGTGATTGTCACGAGGACGCTGTTTCAAAAATCAGTCTTAGATCTTATAGTTAATCCTTTTTGAAAATTTTGTATGCTTTATTCATTTGAATGGGTAATAACAAAATCAGCATGATATTTTCCTATGAAGTTCATTGCTCAACTGTCATCAGTGAATGAGAAGCTACCATTTTAGTGGCAATGGTACAAGCTGACCTGTTTCCCCGAGGTTGTCCCAGAATAACTCCTTTCCTTCTAAATGATTTAATTTGACACTGGTCATCGTTTTCCATGTAATTGACAGAACTGTTTAGATAGACTGTGTTGTCTGTGTCTGCGTCGACTGTTTATGACTAATGTTACCGATTGTTTTGGTTGTGTTTAATGCATTATTATTATTTGAGTTCATTATATTATTAAATGTAATATCTGGGTCTAATGCATTGGTGACTATATATTGTTTTTCTGTTTGTGTTTGATAGGCCCAAGAAATACCGCACTCTGCCCAAAGACCTGTACACACCAGCGTACGAGGGAGACATGGAGAAAGTCTTTTACTTGCTGGGTGAGAGAGACAGACTGTGTGCTCATTTTTTGTTGTTGGTAGCATCTTTTGTCTCCTGTGTGCTTTTCTCTGTACAAATTTAATTAAAAACTGTGAAACTCTGTGTTGAAGAAAGTTTCTTTTTGGAGAATGTGTCTATTCTGTTGTGTTTCCTTCAGGACTTCAAGATGCCTTTTATTTTAAGATACAAACATATTTTTAGGTTTTTCTGATGTCCTGTCCTCATTTCCTCACCTATTACTGATGTGTGCCACACTGTCTGTCTCTGGGTGCCGGGTGCTCTGGTATGTCTTGCTCCTTCTTTCCTATTATACATCTGTTGTCCTGATCTCTTCTCCTTTTTTTGTGTGTTTGTTACTCTATTGTAATACCTTTAATCTTTGGCACACATATGATCTTATTTGTGTTTGCAGCCCTTAAACTCTTACTCTTCCTAAAACTGTCTGTGGGTGATGGTTGAGGTGGGGGGGGGGGGGGGGGGGCCCTCTGATAGGGGTTGTCCTTTTAAATCTTTCCGTATTTTGTTTCTTTCCTTGCCTATGGTCCGAATTGTTCCCTGTTTTTCTCTCCGCCTCAATATGACCATTTGTTTGTCAATGTGTTTCTCTGTACTAAAACAAGGATTTGAACCCCCCCCCCCCCCCCCCCAGCACAAAATAATGCTTATTGTGGGAGCATGCTTTTTCTCTCTACTCAAACTAAAACTCATTAGCAGACCCATGGACTCTGATTTGTGTTGTTTTTGTCCCCCTAACCCTCCTTGCAGTGGACGGCATGGACCCCAACATGAGGTATGAGAACCAGGAGGGCCAGACAGCACTACACGCTGCAGCCACCTCGGGTCACATGGGAACATTGTTCTTGCTACAGCAGGTGAGTGGTCTTCGCACTTGGGATTGCACGACACACCTGTCTCAGGCCGTGATTGGTGGTGGGGGGATTGTGCATGTGGTGGAGGTGGTGGTGGGGGAGAGAAGCCACAGCCCCTGGTAGACCCTACGTCTTCTCTTTCCCGCTTATTGTTTCTGCCGTTCTCTTGGGGAGAGCTTATGACCTCTATTGTAGTCTTTGGGATAGCAATGAGACTAAGTGACGTGCTGCCCCCATTGTAATCCCCCCCCACACACACACACAAAGGCATATGGCGGGCCCCCACCCCCTCTCCCCCTTCTCCAAAGCTCATGTATTTATTTATTTATATTTATTTTTTAAATTAATTGATTAATTAATTTTGTGAGGGGGGAAGAAAGTGACTAAATTGTGACCTGTGCAAACCCTCCTAGGGGGTTTTCAAGGTCTAGAGCTTACTGTGTTCGCCTCTCATTCAGTAGGTCGCGGGTTCAAAAGTTGACTGCGATGGAAAATTGTGTTTTTCTCTAAAATTTTCTCATTTCACTTCCTTTCCTGCTCTCTAACAATGCTCTGCTGTCTGCTTTTATCTCCACTTTCTGCTCCCACCCCTGCCCCCTTCTCTGAGCACCTGACTCTTTCTGCAACCTTTCTACTGCTGCTCGTTGGCTCCTTTTTACTGCTGTCTTTCAGCCACACCCCTCATTCTAGGGTACGTATGAGCTAACAACTAGCCTTCTCAGATAGGGGTGAAAAATATCGGAGGTCCCATGTGCAAGATACGCATACTAAAGATCTCATAGTGGTCCAAAATCTGTAAGAGTAGTCTTTGGTTGTCACCTGGACAAAATTCAAAAATAATTTCTACCCACCTAAAATCTTTAGTGTGTCCTATGTGCTCATATGACCGGCGAGCGCAATAAAATACTTACCAAAGTAAACTAAAAAAAAACCCTCCTACTTTCACTCCCCCGGGCATGTGTTACAGGTTGTTGGAGATTTCCCTGCAACCCAACCTCCAGTTTTGTTTTGGTTAGATAATATGGTCACTCACACAGCGTTTACCCGCTATATTTGGTTGGTGGGTGCTCTACTGTGGTTTCCTCCTTCTTTCCTATCAAACTTCTATCGTCCTTATCTCCCCTCCTTCTTTTTTGCGTTTGTTACTCTCTTGTAACACCTAATCTTTGGCACTTATATGACCTTGTTGTGTTACAAATGACGTAAAACACTTACTAAAACGTTTACTCTCTCCTTATCCCATCAGTTTGGCGGTGAGACCCACGCTCAGGACAAGAACCTGAGGACCCCCATGATGTGTGCGGCGGAGAATGGACATCTCAGTGTGGTACAGTTCCTCATCAAGGTCGGGGCCAAGGTGGAGGACAGGGTATGTTTGTTGCTTATTCTCTTAGCGGCTGTCTGTCTGCCTGTCTCGCTCTCTCTGGGTAGTTATTTGGCGTCAAGGGATGGGTGTTCTTCTTTTGCTTCAAGCAAGAAATGGTTATTATTGTATCAATTTCATTAGTGTATTAATTTTTTTCTCTATTTTCAAACCCAAAGCTGTATCTTTTTGTCTTTTTCTCTGTCTCTCCCTCTATCTCTCTTGCTCTTTCTCTCTGTCTCTTTTTGGCTTGCTCTCTCTCTGTCTCTTTTTGGCTGTGTTGTCTTTTTGTCTTCCTTGTCACTGTCTATGTCTCTGTGGATCATCCTACATTATCTCCCTTATACCATGCATGGATTGTGATGCAGATCTCATTGTGTATTGTTCTGATCACCTACCCCCCCTGTGTGTTTGATCAAGCATTCTTTGTTCGCTACAGGGTGAGGACGGGATGACCAGTCTGCACTACGCAGCCAAGGCAGGATACATAGACATTATACGTCACATCCTAGAGACCAAGCAGCTTAATGTCAATGTGCAGGTATGTGCAC